GCTAAAAAGGAACCTGGTTCATTGCTTATCGGATAGGTCAAGGAATACCTTTAGTGAGGACATGATAGAAGGTGAGTAGTGCTTTATAGGGTCAATTTTTGCAAGTCATGGTTATCTGGAACTCTTAGTTAACCAAATAATTTGGCACACGGAGAACTCTTCACAAAAGACCAAAGTTAAGAAAACTCTGGTGTACAGTTATTTACCATTCAAGTGAATGCATCAACTGAGACCATACGAATGAGATTGATTACCCGACTTAATCAGTTATATATATATATATATCAAAGCTTCTTGTGTTGTCTGCTTTCAAGGCAATCATTCGTTTGCGATTGAAGGGCAAAATTCCTGAGCCTGGGATTTTGTTCAGTGTAGTTATTTACTTGTTTATATGAATCGAAGTACGTTGATCACAAAGCCCAGCGACTGCCCAAACGGTTTGCTGAACACCACTCCGGACGACCAATTCAATAATTGGTGCAATGGTTTCATATCTGGCTGAAATAGATTACACATTGAACGTGAATGGAACTTCTCGACCACGATATAAGGTTCAAGGTATAATATCAACGGTGGCTCGCTGTCGAATTCTGGTCAAAGATACAATGAGAATTCGTATGCACAACCTCCTGTGTGTGCACCCAAAAACAATCTATTCAGGCTCCTGAGCTAACCTGACCCGACTCTCGANTCTCGAATAATCTCGATGATCGCATGAGTAACCAAAGAACCGTAAGATATCTTCACTCATGCCCATACTCGGATTTAAATAAAGTTTCAGCTGAACATTCATTTCCAAATATTAGGAATCAGTCAGTCTGTGGATACATGTGTTTTGCACATCACAATCCCGCACCCTGCCTGCACACATGCACATATGCACCGAAAAACACCGATCCCTCATGACTGTGCAACACGATCAAGTGAAAACAATAGAAGCCTACAACTGATAACGTGATTTGAAACATACAAGTATAGTATGCATTGATTGGATCCTCATAATGTCATACTCCCTAAC